ACAATAGAAAAGCGTTGTACAAGAGGATGGCCAAAAGGATCCTGTTTTAGCACTCTGGATTTCTGAATTCTTACCTTTAACTCTATCAGATCACATCAATGGCGAAATGATACAAAAGCTTGGTATTTGTAGACGCCGCCGCATTTATCATCTCTGGAAGATCAAGAAAACAATTCAGAGATAATACCATCCGTACTCTCGAAATCTCAGATCAACTATGTAACGCACAACTAACAATTTCCGAGGAAAAGAACAAAGGTATGACATTTTATAAGTCTGGCCAAACCATACAAAGACAACCAGCCTCCGAAATTAATGGAAAGAGAATACAGATTAAGACACAATAACACGCCGAATAAATACTAATTCAGAAGTCAAACAACAAAAATCAGCGTTATATTTACAAAATTTTCACCGAACCACCATCTTCAGCTGCAAAACCACAAATGAACATGATAGGAAATAATGATTAGATAAGATAAGAAAGCCTGGACAAGAATAAGCAAGTGGCACCATCTGTTGGTAAAACCAGAACTAAAACATAATTTCTTTAAAGGCCGAAGGCAAATTTGGATTGGAATTAGGATCGTTAACTAGAACAGAAAGATTTTTATGAATGTGAAATGCTTCTAGAAAATCCAGTTCTCCAATGGAAGATGTTTTTTGAATAATTTTGGCAGCAGAAAAACTGAAAGTGTGGTTTTCGGACCAACAATGTTGAGCAACAGAAGACTTCTGTGTTTCCTTTTTTCTAACATATGCCTCATGTTCCTTGACGCGAAAATTTTAAGGCTCTCTTAGTTGGCCAATGTAAATTAAACCACACTGGCAAGGAATCCTATAAATACCCCAGGAATTCATATCCGGAATGGGGTCCTTGAGTATGGAACTCGGAATTTTATTGATGGGAGAATAAACAACCCGAAAGTTAAATTTCTGCAAAATATGTGCATCTTTATAGCTAATTGATGGAAAGAAGGGAATGACAACAGAATTTTTATAATCTCCTAAAACAAGAGTGTGCCTTTTAGTGTGTTGAGATGAGAATTTTTTAACTGCTTGATTAATAATGTTGGGTGGAAAGCCCCTGTCAATAGCTATTGCTTTTAAATAATTTAGTTCTTTATCAAGGGCTAGTTTGGAGGAGCAAACTTGAAGAGCACGGAAAACATAGGAATAAAATGAAGTTAACTTTTGTTTAGTCGGATGACATGATTTAAAATGTGGTGGAAGGCAAACCGATGAAGGTTTACGGTAAACCGTAGTACTGAAGTTGGAAGTTATTAATCAAGCAGTTAAAACTTTCTAAAAAATCTACACATGAAAAAGTGGGATCAGCCTGTTTTTTCCACAAAGCCGAAAATCTAAAAATATCCTGGAAAAGACGCTTGTGCCCAGAAAAATTCAGTTTTCCAAGCGGAAATTATAGTAGTTAAAAAGCTAATAGAAATTACAAGTAACAATAAATACAGTCAGCTCAAAATTCAATCAGATTCTCTTTCTTCATACATTCAATAGCGAACTTCAATATGCTTTTGCAGTAGCACAAGAAATTATTCAATTCCTACAAGAAAGTAGCCAAATTAAAATTTCGCTTGGTTGATGAAGGCACTTGCTGGGAATGAAAAAAACGAAGACGCCGATTTCCTTGCTAAGAATGCAGCTACTGTTCCTGTTTCCGAATGTATGAACTTAAAAAGGCTTAATTCATATCTAAAAAAAAGGAAGCATACATACAAGAAAAAAAATCTGGCAGCACGAATGGAACTCTGATCCCCAAGGCAGGAGAACACATGAACTAATCAACGTAATGAAAAGGAAAAAAATGTCTTCGTAGACTCCGATTAAATTGATATCTGGACATGGATTCTTTCCCATTAATTACTACGAAGAACCATCTCGTCCTTAGAGAACTGTGTTAACGGTAAAAGAGGTTCTCTAAAATTCTATCGCTTATCATACCCATTAACACAAGGCCATCACAGCGTTAGGTTAGGCCAACTATAAAAGAACTCGAATTTCTAAGATATATTATAAATAATCCAAAATTTCATCACAAAAACCATTGACATTGCAAAATAACTTTTGGAACAAAGACAAGATATTTTGTGGACTATAGCTATTACAAAAAAGTCTGTGTATTAGTACACAAATTCTTCTGAATAAAAACTGCATGAAAATGTTTTGGAAAGTTTGCACGGAGCTTCTGCAGAATTCTTCACTGGATCAGTAGCATCACGAGACAGAACCTATATCATTATATTGCAAAGTCCTGGTGTCTCGTGCGCTTATTCCCGTTCTGTCCTGTAAAATGTGTTGCCTTGAGTCATTATAGTGGTTAGGCACACTGATTACCGTAACCGGTTCGAATCCTGAAGACTATAGATATTTGTATGAGTACAGTGTATGTGCGACGAAGGCACTCAAAATACACGGAGACCCGAAAGTCCTCTCAAGAGGTTGGTGTTTAGAGGAGGAGAGTTCGGAGACCCTTGGACCGCCCTGGCGTATTATTCTTTAAAATTGGGACGGAAGCTTAACAGTTAGCTAGGTTCAACAATGCTTCAATCACCTGTGGTTCAACAATACATCAAACACCTGTACTATTGAGATGCTGGTTTAGTGCCTGTAAAATACCTGTGCCTGTATTATTAGGTTTGAGTTAAAATAGCATGCTGAATAACGATAATTGGAAGGAAAAGTAAAGCGTGTTTGGAGCTAATCAATTCTGTGTTAAAATAACACACTCTAAATACAATTGTATAAATTATTAAAAAACATCTTCCTTGGCGTATTAGATTTTCTAGGGGCGTTTCACGTTCATAAAAATCTTTTAGCTCGGGTAATTATCCCTATTTCAAATCGTCTTTACCCTCAGCTTTATTTCATAGCTATTTTCATTTTTTATCAGTAGATGACGCCAGTAGCTTTATTTAGAATTGTTATCGTCTGAACTTCAGCTCCTTTTTTTCCCATTTTCTCTACTTCAGCTGAATAAAAAGTTTCTGTATTTAATCCTTGGAAATCTAGTCATGAAAATTAATGAATATTATGCTGATTCTTCTTGCCTTAACATCTCCAGTTATATTTAGATAGATATTCTAATCTATAATATATAATAATATAAAATATTCTAGTCAATAACATCTCCAATTATATTTAATTAAATATTCTAAATTTTAAGTTCTTTGGTTAATTCCTTTCTGTAATTTTCTTATGCTTTTGTACATGGAGTGCCTGAGTAGGGGGTAGGGAAGGAAAGCTTTTGTTTATTAAAGTATTTTTAAATACGCTTAATAATTAATAGAGATAAACTTTGTAATATATTTTTATTAGTACAAAATAACATTAAATACAAATATGAAGTGAATTAAGCATAGGTTGAATTTTCATTCAGATCAAATAAATTTTAATAAGAAAAATTCTGCTGAAAATCGCTAAGATGAGGGGAATGGAATTAGGACAAAAGTTCTATTAATTAAGTACATTTCATTTATTATTAGAAAACATTTTCGTCAGAAATGTTTTTTAGTGAAGGCTAAAAATTTAAAACCGGATTTTTTCAGAGGTCTACATGTAAACCGGAAAATGTGATACAAAACCGGGAGTCTCCGGTAAATCAGGAGAGTTGGCAGCTGTGTGACATACATTAAAATTATATATTTACACCTCTATATATTGTTATGGGCTATAAGATTCTAAAGTTTTTAAAGCTATTTTTAAACATTACACCTTACGGCTGGAAGATTATCTACTTTACAATAGAAATTTTTGCAATTATAAACCGATTATGTCTTGCCGAACGCATGGTTTACGTGATTAATATATGGCGCGCATGGCAAAATCGTATCCCGCGTAGTTAACCTTCCATGGAAAAAATGAGTCAGGTTATAATTCAGATTAAGAAAGAATATTTAATTTTAAAAACTTAAATATTGCTGCAAATAAAAGGAAAAATACACATGTTAATTGAAAGGTTTTTGTTACGGCTAAATAAGTACTTGATATACTTACTTTCTAAAAAAAAGTTGGGGATTTTGCTTGATATAATAACTGTAGCAACTCTTCAAGTTTTGCAGTAAACAGTGCAGACCTTTCAATGCCTCTAATGAAATCTTTGCTTCTTTCTTTAACTGGATCTATCGCCTGTGCAAAATCAGATAGTTCCTCTGAATTATTTTTACCAATACATTAAACTTCTTTTCAGTTGAAAGCGATTTATCTTCTTCTTTCTTATCACTGCTTTCACAATCAGCTGATGTCCACCAGCGGCCGAGCGGTAAAATTGCTGAACACTGGTAGTTCGGTCCGAGGTTCGAATCTCGCGAACGGGCTGGCTGCATGGGTGTTTTCGTGGTTTTCCCCATCTGTAACGTGTATACGAGCCAGTTTCCCTTAGAAAGTCCTCCACGAAGGCATCCCCCCTTAGGCAGATAGCCCTAGTGTGCTTTGCCATAATTAAATACACACATTAAATACACACACACAATCAGCTGATCTTTTAAGATCATCGAATTCTTCATTCATGATTTTTCGATTAATTCTTTGACTTTTTCAGTATTTGAAAATCTCCACCAAATGATTTCTCAATTTATACAATTTCTCTGGCGTCATTTTCGATCAATGCAATTTTTTAAAAATTATTGGTAATTTCGGGCCAGAGATGATGCCATTAAGCATTCAGTGTTGATGAGGATCCGATGAACTGCGTATGAATGAAATTATAGCGTTGAACAAATTAAAAAGAAACAACTAATGCACCATAATACGAGAATCGCGTTTCTCAAATTCCCGCTCGGTAAGTGTTTACTGTATTAATAGCTAGAAAGTGCAATAAAATTTCATTTTGGAAAGAATTATTTAGAATTATTAGATTTTGGAAAACTAGTTATATTCTACAATAATGATGAGTTGAATTTAAGATTGATTCGAACAATAAACCAACCTTGTTATATAATTAATTGGATTTTAAAAATATTTATACTTCTTTTTAATTGCAGAAGGATTATAATTATACAATTCCTGAGTGGGCATTGTTATATTGGGATAAATTCATTGAACTTACTGACATGGCTTACTTCCTGCATTTTCAATCTAGACTACAACAAAGACTGAGAGCAGGTAAAGTTATTTTTTTGCACGTGATACTAAATACCTATATCATTTAAATGGGCAATATAAAGCCATCTGTCATATAAATTAGGAATTAGAATTACTGTGATGCAATATTTTTAAATCTGAAAACAAAGTTTATAAAAAGCATTGGAAAAGAATGTTTTTAAAAGCTTTCTCTGATGCTGATACGCAGCATTTCTTGTGAAAATCAGAGATCATTAGGTAATTATAATTTATTAAGTAACTATTTTTAAATAATTTCCAAAGAGAAAATGAAAATGATACTAAATAAAGGCTTTTTAATATACTGGTGCCCACACTTGACTAACTTTCACAGACAAGAACAAACTTGTTTTCAAAGAATGAAATTTATTTGGAACCTAAAAGATCTCGGAACCTCACTTTTCTGAATAGCCAAATTCTGAGAGATTTGCTAAAGGAAAATCTGTAGTGCATGACGTCATACAGTGCTTCATTACACTGTTTACGTCGAAAGAAAAAGAAAACTTCTTCAGTTAATTTTAGTTACATATTTTCTTAAGAAAGATACATTAAAAATCGGGGTTGTTGGCCTGTATAATACGCCAGAGCATGCCACCTCTCTTTAGGTTAATGTCAAGTAGAGAGGACATTAGAAACGTCCCATTTATTTCTCCATGAGTTTTCAGAGGGTTAATCAGACCTTAGTTCACCCCAATACATGTAAAGATCAATAAGCCCAGTCCTCACTCCATCAGCATAGGTTCGTACTGTATATTAAAATAAAATTTTATCCATGTATAAGTTTTTATTTATTTAAAATCTGCAATGTAATAATTGTTTGTTTTAGAATTTTTAACTGTGTATTTGCTAGTATTTATAGTTCTTATATTTTGAATATTGTTAGGAAATATGCGTAGGGAACCTTGTAACATTTTATGAACTAATTCATGGTAGGAATAATCGTTCAGAGCATAACATGTTCTAAATGTGGGGGTTGTCAATATGCAAAAGTTATGCACATTATACTTATAGCTGTTAGCATCTAAATACTAACTTTAGCATCTAAATACTAAACTTTTAGATGGACAATTATTTCAGGCAATTCCAATATGTTTAAATAATCTCTAAATAACTTACTTCCTTTGACCTTAACAGCACAGTCAGTAAATTTGGTTTTCCAGCTGACCAACGTGTGGAATTCTCCTCATCACTCTCGTCACGTTGCCTGACGTACAAGCATGCAGTGACAAAGCCTCAACCTATTCATTCTATCGTTTTTCCTTGCGCACCTAAGCTCATTTATGTCTCTAAAACTATAAGCACTATATGTATTTAAAAAAATACATAATGAAAATATACTCGCAGGCAGCATAAAATTAAATATCTGTGCATGCATGCTACACAAGCAAGAATAGTTAGAACGTAAAACAGCTAGGAAAAATGTTATAGTGTAGTATGTATAATAAACGGTCTGTAAAATGATTATTTAAGGTTCTGCATGATTCTGGTTTCGTATAGAAATGGTCATCTAATAGAAGTTTATTATAGATGATAGAAAGAATAGATTTCAAAAATTTATTTATCTTCTTCGGTGTTCTTCAAGACGAAATGAGGACTGCTAAAGCAAAATGCTGATGGTTTATTAATACCGTTACTTTAAGAAAATTAATTGCAATTTAGGCAATAATGTTCTAGAGACATTAGGATTTTTTATGCTGAGAGACGTGAAAAATGAGCAAGACCCTCGCTGAGTCTCGAACCTCGGACCTCTTGAATACGCTTCGAGTATGCACCACGAAGGCATGCTAAGAGGGGGGGTGAGAAATACCTTATAATGTAGCAAAAAATACTTCACTTTTAAGCTCCTAATACTAAGCGAATTATATTAAAATGCAGGGAACAGGACTTGAGTAAATAGGAAGAAACCATACAAAAGCCCTTACATTATAAATTTAGTTAAAACACAACAGAAAAAAAACTGCTCATCAAAATATTCATTGTCTAATTCATTTAAATTCTCTAAGCTACGACTTCAAATGACGTGTCTTAATTCCCTTGGGCGCATCATTGCCAGTATTTGCAAAATTTAATTGGATTTTTAATGCTTTTAGGTTTATTGGGCTTATCCAAAAGCTCGTTCCTTAAGGAGGAAAAACAAGATTGAAATTACGAGTAGATTTGACGTCGTACATGACTCTGCAATGATTTGGAATTTTTAGATAAATAAAATGTGTAGGCAGATAATATATAAAGGCAACGTTCTTATAACAGTAAATTATTCAGTAAACAAATATCAGACGGTTTAAATAAACAAGGGACAATGAGAATATCAGACATTGTTCGCTGTACAAGTTTGATATAGGCAGTATGATAGTATTGCTGACCGATCATGTCCAAATGTTCGTCAAGTGTATGGAAAGGAAGAATCACAGCATATATCACAGATTATTTTCGGGATGGAGACATAAGCTTTGAAAATCAACCATGCCCTGGATGTCCATCACAAGGCTAGGTTCATCATCACAACGTTCATCATAAGCCTAAATCTGTGTGCTCCGCATCAGTTCTTTGAAGAATAACGACAGGTGTCTTTTTTTTCTTTTCTCATTCCAGAAATGAGCCATATTTTGACGTCCGTGACAAACGCGTAGTCTACAGCAGTAAAATGTCTTCAAACTTTGTCGACTCCTGTATTCCATAGAATGTGTTTGCATTTTTTGACACAAACTGTCAACTACTGATGTTATCTGTAGTCGCACTTCATATTATGCGTTTAATTTGTTCCTATATTTTGATGCCGTATGCGTTGAGAAATATTTTTCTATCAATTAACTTCCTACAACCAGCATTAAAATATCTATAATGTGTATGAGAAACGTCTAGGTTTTCTGCATGAATCTAAAACCAAAATCGTAAGAGCTGCTATTGCATAAATTTAGATATCGAATCTGTTGATAAATTGTTCAATGGCACAACGTTTGACTTATCGTAGTACTTCCAACGGATTTCTTTTATCTAGTCATAGAGGGTTTTTTTTCTACGACATATTATCTTATAATTTTCTTCAATTGAAATTGATGCTGCATTGTATAAATTTTTAACACTGTCGTCTAAATTCAGTTCATTTTCCATTAGAAAACTATTTAGTTTAGCAAAGCATTGCACGTAATTCTCTTTGAAGCATGATGACCACATATTAATTTTTGATCTGTAACTAAATGTATCTTTATATTTTTTAGTTAATTATTATTAGTCAACTAACGCAAGAGCTTTACAGTTTTCTTTCCGAAATTTTATTTTGACTCATGAAACCCTGAGCTTTGACTTTCGGGGCACAGTTTGAAGACCACTGCTGTATCGCAATATCAAAATTTCACCAGTTCCAGTGTCGCGTAGCAGCTTGCTTCTCTCACATCAAGAGCAGGACAGCATCCCGAAAAGACTTTGTTAAAAGTATGTCAGGAAGGGAATAATTCACAGCGTAGCTCCCACGCAAACAAACCGTTAGTGTTGACCTGTTATGCCAACAGTTGGACATACTATGTTGCCAGTTGTTATGACAACAAAAATTAATATGTAAGCGGCCACTGATATCTAAACGGTACTTGACATTCGCCAATGTATTATTTTTCAGTATGAAAATTCCACACCTCACGCTGTTTTAGACACTTGGTAAAAGCTACTGAACTTTGGATAGCAATTTTTTTATTTAGTACCCCAGACATTGCTTTACCTTTTTCCTATTCTTTCGAACTGCCATCTTTTTCAAACTTACAGAATTCCTTAACCTTTCAAACCTTGGATGATGCGAAAGATGTGAAAACAGTATTATAAGATTTTTTTTTAAATTCTAAGCTAGAGGTGTTTTATTGACGAGGGATTAATATATAACAAAGCAGATAGCAAAAGATATACTAAATACTGGGAATTATATGAATACACATGTAAGTTATATATTACTTTATATACTCTTCTTTTTCATTTAAAAACGGCCTGAACATTCACATCAGCCTAATACAAATATCTTAATCTAACATTAATCAAGATTTAACGTTTCTTTTCCACTTAATAATAAAGGAAAAAAACAGAATTGGTACTTTCTGAACACTTATTTATTGTATGTTGTCAATTAAATAGGCAGAAAATGAAAAATAAAATGTATATTCAGTTTAAAAACAGATTAAATCATTAAAGAACTCTTTTATCACAAACACCGAATCAAGATTATAACATAAATTGTACCATGCTAAGATAGGATAATTTAAATGGTTAATTGCTATTTTCCATCATAATAAGTTTACAATTATTTAAGATTTGTAAATGAGAATCACTGATTTTTTTTAAAAGTGCAAATTAATTTTGCTCGATAAGATATTGGTTGAAAGGAGCCAGATGAACAAATAATAAAAGAAAAGGATTTCGGAAATGATCATCTCAAATAATATTAAAATTACTTAGTATCAATATTAATGCATTCCTATAAATACTGTACGATGGAGGTAACCGCCAGGAACAGAGGTTAGGGAGATAATAATTACGAAAGTTTTACTGTATTTCACGTGCGAATATACTAAACCTGTTTTTCATTCTATCTTTCATTTAAGAATATAATTAAAATATCATTGTATTTACATAAATTTATGATATCCATTAATGATTGAGTTTTAAAATCCAAAATCTTAATTTCAAATTTTTTATAATAAGCCTAGATTCTAGATGTTTTAGCATTACATTTCCAGCTCATTCATCTTTCTGTTTTAGGCCCAATTTTAAATTTACTTCTAAAGCGCATGAAGGAGAAAATGGAAGGAAGAGACAGTTCCAAAAAGGTGTATGTATATTCAGGAGTGAGTATATTTATTCAGCACTATTTAAATCTGTTTAATAGGATAAAATCTTATTTTGAAATCGTTTCTGAAAATCTATAATGCAGTATAAGTATAGATATTTGTTTGAACGAAGCCTTCCTTTACTTCCAGACTTCTTTGATATGAGAAATTCTTTCAAATTTTAGGGTTCTATCGTGTTCTTTACGTTTCGTTTTGCAGTAGAACACAGTTTTAAGAATAATCCTCTTTATTATCTGGCGAAATACATCTATCATTATAAGTTAGTTAAATATACATAGAGAAAAAAAACGAATTCACAATAAAGAGAAATAATATAAATGGGATGATAAAAGTATAAGAAATTTTCGCATTTCCCCAAGTTCCTCTTATAGTGTGAGTAGTAGCACGTCTATCTAATAATTAGCAGAGCCGTGTTTCAAATTCAGGTAAGGTCATAAGAGATTCCTCCAATTTCCTGGATCTGAAGAGCCTGATAAACTCTATAGTCTCGCCCAAATTAAAGCGTGATGGAAAATTGTATCTCGTGCCGGTCTCAAGTTGCAAGTAGGAAGCATATAAAGAATTATCGCGTTTCTCCAAGCGGGCTTTTATGGTATAAATGATAACACGCTCATCTATAAACTTAAAGTAACATAATTCAAACAGATTTCTCAAGATTTCTTCATTGATTTCTCAAGTTTTTTGACTTCGGAAAACTTACCGTCTCTTCAAGATGTAAAACATATGATTTCAACTTTGCTTAATTTGAATGACATTATTGGGAAAACTAAATTTCATACTTCAGTATATCCCGATTAAAGGAAACTACGGACAAAATTTTACTAATATTTAATAATTTATTCTGAAAGGATTTTTAACCCACATTTCTTTTTCTTTCTTATTAATTAGTTATTAATTATGATAATAAAATAAGTATTATGAAAAAATGGGATTTGGGTGTAATATGTAAACTAGAAAACTGGGAAATAAATCTCTTTTCAAGAGATAACTTTTGCGTTCATTAATCCATGTAATATGTAAACGATAATATGCGTTACTGAAAAACTGTTCATACTGTTGTTTCTAGCCTCCTGTTCTGAACTTAAGCCAAATCAGATACGAGAATTTTATCGCGGACAAGAAGTCTTAGGCACGTTATATATGACAATATGATTTTGAAAAATTCCATCCTAATTTTGATCGGGAAATCAAGTATCTCTTATCGTCTTCTTCTGCAACTAACCTTTTGAAAGGGCTTTCAGTTAGACAGTATTTTATTCAGTTACTAAGCATATATAAACATTCTTACCATCTCTGAAATTCAAACCTGTGTCCAAGGCTATGGTAGCCTGCTCCGCTACCATCAAACCACCAGGCTAACAACAATTTACCTGAAAACTGTTATGCTATTAAAAATTAAAATATCGAAGATTCTAATAAATTTTGAATAAAGTAGCAATATATGCAATAGAACGTTTCAAACGATAGCTTGATATTTTAATAATAAAGACTGAGCGCCGCCTGACATAATTACTGACCTGACAAAAAAAGTCTAGTTGTAAAAGTCTTACACTGTTAATTTAATAGTCATCCTGTCAGAAGGGATAATTTCTTCCGTATAAAAATATAACTATTACATGGACATACAAGATATGAGTATAAGCATAGATATATTAATTACAAATATTGTCTTGTACAAGTTATATGTGATAGTTACATAAAATTATGACAGTTATGTGCACATTTAAACATTATCTGAATTCATATTTACAATACTTTTACCGAGGTAATCAAAGTAAACTTGTAATTCATTGACTGTATTTTCTATGTCATTTTTAAAGTGCTTTACAACATTATTTTTAACAAGTGCATACAAAATGGATAGTAGTATGCTTACATTACAATAGTTTTTGCTCTTACAGTCCTGTTACTATTTTACGGGGTGAGCTATTTTTCTAATGTTGATTTTCATATGTTGTAGTACTATCTGGCTGAAACTGGGTAGGGAGCTATGTGACTCAATTTTCTGGTACTTTAGCTGAATTGCTTGAAAAAGTTTACACAGCTATTATAGTTGTAGTACATATCAAGGGACTAGCTTAGTTACTGTTCAGTTACTTGGATATTACTGCAAGAGTCAACTACACTAATCTGCTCCGGTAACTGCGAGTTGTCAGCTCAATGTACTCTTTCAAGCTACTGTGCTAACACTTTGCATCACATATTTTGTCAACTTTATTCAAAAGATATTGCTTTAGTAATTTAAAAATGATAATAATAAATTTAATTTAAAATAATCTAATGTCTTTTAAGTGTCCCTTTCTAGCATAAGAGATGCTATTAGTTTCAAAACGTTTTGTCTGCATCACTTTTGTGCCCAAGATACTTTTCAAATAGTCGCCACCATTGTTATCCCGATATATTGGTATTGGTTTAGAAAAAAATAAAATATTGAATGTATCAATATTTCTCGCACTGCGGAGAAATAACGGCACTTAGAGCTACAGAATTTTGAATACACGTAGTCCTCCAACCGGAATGGGCAACTTGAAGCCCTAATTTTAAATTTCGAATTTGGTTTTGATTTATTTCATATTTTGTACAGATTTAACGAATTTTTATTTAATAAACTCAAAGATTTTAAAGCGGGAATTGACAACACAGCTGGAACTAAAACATTTTTATTTCCAGATCGCCAAACTGATGCTCTTCGGCTAAATATAACATAGTAATCTTTCAATATTAATCCTCAAATTTGATTGTTTGAAAATAGTGTGTTCCTACTGTCTCATAGAATACTTATTGCCTCCACGCTCCAGCGTGTTGTCTTTCAGCCTAAGATATGTAATTTTCAAATTTAATCTTTCTGTTACTGAGAAGCACACCAAGTGACTGATAAACTATAAACACAGTTCTTAAAAAGTATTTTTTCTGCTTTTTAACCTGGTTGATTTAAGTAAAAATACATTCAAATCACAAGATGCCTAATTAGACATATTAAATATTCTTATAAAAGCTAGCTTTATAAAATCATTATACACGTTTTTCGCTTATGCTAACTCTTTTAGGCGGCTGACAGCTTGAGCGGCTAGTTTTCAAGTACAGCGAATATGAATGTATGGAAACCCCTAACGCTCAATCGGGAAGTCTAATATTCTGTTTTTAATTATTTTATTTAAAGATTCATAGGGAAAGCATAAAAAACCTTAACAAATCTTCTTATGCGACGTTAAAATATGAATCTATTCAGTTTTTTTAAACCGATATTTATACGTAGTGGTTCGTTTGATCGAGTCGTTAAAGATTCGTAGACTGACTAGTTGCTCATTCTAAACCTTTCTAACCTACGTCATTTCAAACTTAATAGCTATCATATGATTCTTACATATAACTCTGATGCAGATAACTTATACAATCCTTTATTCAATACTAATTTTAGGCAGTTATTTATTTACGAATCAAAATGCATCGAAAATAAAAAATAACATACTTTGAACTAAGATTTCGTTGCGAATACTTGCACTTGCTTTCTTTTTGTGTTAATAGCTAGATTTGTTAACGCTTGCTACTTGAAACATTTTTGAAGCGCTTTTTATGTAAAATAGGTTATTGTTACCTATCTATCGCCTTTAATTTTTCTCTGATTTCGAAGATAAATTTCTGTATAGCTCAAGACAGGAATACTGGAAATGTTAGTAAAATCCATGACCATTTGATACAACGACTATCCCATCACAACGGCCCGTAGACGAATGCCCACGACTGGATTAAGAGTATATCAAATCAGATTTCACTATTGTGATCATTCTTTATCTTCATTAGATTCGTATCCTTTTTCTGCGTGATGTGAGAAATGAAAAATATATTTGTAATTTGTAAATCATTTTTTTATTAATAATAAAATTTCTTACAAATAAAAAATTACTTTCGTTAGAGTTAGTAAATAAGATAAGATAGAAGATTTTCCCTAAAAAATATATACTTAAAAACAAGATGGAAATGCAGAACAGGGAAAAATTTTCAAACTAAAAGAAAAAAATGAAAAAAAAAACATTTTATTTTTAAACTAAAAGAAAGAAAAAAAAGACATTTTTTACTTTCTTATTGATTTTATATATGTATTAAACCGTTATATGAAATCTTAGATAAATTGGTTATATATATATAAAATGTATAGTTGACCAAAGGTTCTCAATCTTTCTTGCCGCCAGACACCTGTCACCATTGCTAGAAAATCATTTCTCCCCCTCCTTTCTAAAACTTGAAAAATAAACACATATACGTATATATTTATTTAGAGTTAGATTATTTTCTAACGTGTTTTATAAATTAAATAAAAATGTACAGAAAATTTTGGTAAATACCAAAACTTGAATAAAAGTTTTTTTATTATTTATATATATCATATTCACGTTAACTAAAACTAAATACTTATCCGCCATATAAAAGTCAGATCGCATTGACATAAAACTGAAATGAAATTTCATCTAGGGAGAAATTCCCCCCCCCCCCTGGGATGAGAAACCCAGTTTAGACGCATTAGAAAGTTAGAAAGCTTACATCAAGCTAAGTTACACTTTTGGTATTTCCGAGAAAATTTTATGTGGGGCCAATAACACAAATTATTTCCTAAAGCTTTGGAGTTATGGTAACTACAATGGTGTCTGACCTCCCATAACTTCATTTCGGAAGCCCCTTCACATATTAGCTTCCAGACCGTGTTCCCACAAGCTTGAGGCCCAATTTATCAGGAGTTATTACTTATGACGCTCATAACTAATGAATGGCTCGAAAGCGTTCGTCTAGCAGGGTGTCAGAACAAAAGTATGCAACTTTATTATAAGTATAAGAATTTGTTATAAGTATAAGAATTTAGTATAAGAATTTGTTTCAGTTGAAATTTCAAAAAACATTTTTCTGTATTTTCATCGGTACAAATATTTAAAGAAGCTATTTTTCTTTTAAAATTATAACGTACAAAGTTTGTAGAGACATTAGGTATTTTTGGAAGCAGAAGAGATGAAAAATTAACAACCGCCTTCGGAATCGAACCACGGACCTCTGGAATACCGGCCCAGTGTGCAAACCACTACACCACGAAGGCCCACTAGGAAGGTGGGAGAAATACCTTATAAGTTTAAGGGGCCCTAAGAGCCCGCAGCCTTGCTTCCCCTTATGTTCCTGCTGTAATCAGATTACTGACAATCCCAACTTTTTAACTTTTCAAAGGCTGAGAAAAAGTCAAATTAAAGTAACTAGGGCAAAATTATCGATCAATATTAAATGTTCTCGACAGACCATACAGCCACCGATTATCCTTCGTAAATGCTACATAAAACAGATACTAGTGGTGATGTAGACTAAGAATAACTCGAACGAAACCATTCAGAAAGAAAACTGTTTAAACAAGAAATTGACATATATAACTGGCTTTGCAAGATGTTGGTTCAGCTGCAAGTTTCTTTTTCATAAGGAAAGGAATCATTTACCCAGCTTTAAACAAAAGGAAATATCTAGTTTCTTTGCTCAGTGGCTTTTCCTAAATAAAAATTGGAATTCTTTAGTTTTCTGAACCGTAATACATTTCGTAAATTTGTAACGATTTAAATGGTGGCGTAGTGCTTAGAATAAGAGTAATTCCTCTTATTTTCTTCTTAGGTTTTTCTAAATAATTTGTTTAATGCATCAAATGATTTGTGATAAATCTGAGCTCCAGAATTTTGAATTGTGTAATGTCATAAAATAAAATCGGACACCAATAAATCATATTGATAGTCATATTATAAAAAACACTAATGTAGACACCACATGACTTCTTTGTACGGCTATTAAATTATACACCTTTTTGATGCACTTAACTTACACTTGTTTCCTCGAATTATTCTAACATTAACTATTCTATTTCATCGAATTCTCGAAATCTATTGCTTTAGAGTCAATACATAAAGGTCAATCAATCGTCACTTGTCCAATATATTCAGCATTACCTGGGGAAAATTGTCAATCTAAATAGGATCTGCATCTACAATGAATACCTGCTCACGTTGCATTGCAGGAAACGAAATGGGAGACAGGTTGGCAAAAGATTTCAAGGATTGCAACACTAATATAATTGCTCTTGACGGTGAACGATGTCGACTTAAGAGGAAATACCATCAAAAACATCCTACCAGGTTTTTGAAATTAATGCTATTCGAGACATCACAAAAACTATAACTCGACTCAGAACCCAGCACTTTCGCTGTGGGAAGGCAGAAAGAGGTGGCACAAGATCCTACCTTCCCTGCAATAACTGTGACCAAATGATGAAGTTGGCCATATTTTGGACTGTCCCGCAAGTATAAGATCTTTGATTTTTCTTTGAGAATATCCTTTTGATTCTGCGTAGTTCTCTTCTTGGAATATCACTGAGATAGCCAGCTGCGTGTTGTCTATATATGTTCCTTTGTGATTAGTGTTTGGATTCCTATGGATACAACACCACCATTACCACCACTTTCCTAAGTAATGTTGTTAACATAATTGATGAAGTGGAAGCAATGAGTTTACTAATGGATAAAGATACGTTATAAAATGTCCGAAAAAAGAACTCTGTTGAAGATAAAAGCAAAAATACATCAGAAACTATAGACCCACCCGAAAATCCGTCAATACGTTGTGGTCCAGGTAAAGAAGCATCAGATATTTTAATGCGAGTTTCTTGAAAAACAAATCCGAGAATGAAAATGAACAGATGGCGTAAAAGTTTTACATAGAAACCTATGCCAAATTAAAACTAATACAACAAAAACATTTAGTGAACATTTTAGAAAACTTTGAATTCTTCTATGTAACACTAAGTGATCAAACTTTTGACAGTTTTATGATACCTAGATTTTTTTTAAATTTTGATTCATTTAATTAGCTGTGGATTTTAAGTAATTACTCATTTGAGCAAACTATTGAAATTTTAACTTCTCTTATTTACCGAATTCAGTATTATATTTTTTTCGTTTGTTTATTTGGCAATAATAAGTGTGAAAAATTAAACTTTTATATAGTGTTTTCAGTTATCATGTTGTATTTTAATGTTAGTAAAATCCATGACCCATGACCATGAATATTTCAGTAAATGCGTAACATTATTGGTATTCATATTTAATTTGATAACTACCACAACACACTTGGTCAATCAAACAGTTGTTCGGTCTTAGAAAACAAAACAAAACAAAAAAACAAAAAAAAAATGCAGAGAAATTTGTGCCATTTGAGTTGCTTATAAGTTTAAATACATGTCCTTCAGACCCTATAAGACTTAACAAGCGAATCATTGCACTGTCTAGATTAAAATGACAGAAAAGGTTAAACTAAGGTTTTGTTAACACTTTAATAGAAAGCACCACTTATACTTACAAAACAAAATTCCTCAATTTTATTATTATTTAAAATAAGATAAGATGAAATTTAAACTCAGGTATTGTAGTCGGAGACTATACGAAAGGTTTACGTAAACTAACTCAAACAATTAACAGCACGCTTTTGACGAGCACTAGCAAAATGGCTGAAGCTGGAATAATCTCTACCAGAGCTAGAGATAGGACGAAAACTGCAAACGAGGCTGCCAAAATCTGTTACACTGAAATTTTCAAAACCCTCGCGTTAAATACTCAGACAACTAATTAATATTCTGGTGAGATATACAGAAAAAAACTTATAGTAAAGGTAGTAAGGACTTCTAACCAGTTATGTTTTAGTTTTCCTTTCTTTTCCCTCTTAATTTCAGTTTCCTGCAGGAATTTAAATTTGTTATGACATAGGTGCTAATCTAAACTTGTTTCAGGAGCAGTATTTAAGCTGCATTTCAAGAGTTCGTGAGTAGTAGTAGCGGACTTAGTTCCGAGTTTATGCTACGTGTTTGAATTTAGCTCTCTAGTCAGTGTTAGACACCTCTCCGTTTAAACTGATATTTATAGGCTCGGCTTTGCTGTGTGTAGCCGATTTAGCGTTAAGCTAAGGAGCCAGTCGTTAGTATCTTAATTTATTCGCGATTTGTTACATTCTCATTTTCCGTTAAATTTACGTTAGTCACAAGTAGTGGTGATTTGTAAGCTCCGATTGCGTGCGTCCGTTTTAACTTAGTTTAAATAAAAGGGTTATTTAAAAACCTTCCTCTGCAGTATTTATTCTCAAAAGAAATAGCGAGTATTCACTACTTCGTCTTCTACGTAGAGTCTACAGTGTTCGCTCCTTATGGTCACGATTCTGTTCTCTAGAATTCGTCGACGGAGCTGGGCCTGACCTTTCCCGTTTTTCGATTCAGTTATTGATCCTTGTCGATTTCCTTTGACCTTCGTTCTTGTGGTGCGTGTCTCTTTTTTGAAAGGTTCCCTTGAGGTTTGTGGTCTGCCGTTCATCTGCGTTTTCTGATCGATGATTCTTGTAAGTTTCCTCTCTCCAGTGGTTCCTCATCCGGCGGCCTTATGTAACGTGTGTTTCTCCATTTAGAAGGGAATATAGTCTTATAAATGTCAACATGCCGCCTTTTTTATTGCAGTTATAAGGTATTTCTCCCGCCATCTTAGCATGCCTTCGGGATGTAGTGATCAGCACTTTCGGCGCGTATTCGAGAGGTCCGTGGTTCGGAACCCGACGAGGGCATTGCTCATTTTTCATTACGTCTGCTTCGAAATAACTTAATGATTCTACAGTGACGCCCGAACTAAAAAAAAAGGTGGTGAATGATGATTCTCCACTACCAAGATTTCGCGATTGGGTCCCCTAATACCCAGTTGTCCTTCAAAAGGACGAGTATTATATACTCGTCCTTTTCTCCCACCTTCTTAGCATGCCTTCGTGGTGTAGTGGTCAGCACACTTGGTGCGTACTCGAGAAGGCCGTGGTTCCAGTTACGGCGAGGGCACTGCTCATTTTTCATCTCTTCTGGTGTCAAAAAATACCTAATGACTCTACACAGTCAAATTTTGCTTTTAACTTGAGCAAAGTTAATACGGATAGCTTCTTTCCTCTCCCATGAAAGAATTTGAATTACCTATCTGCTTAAATTTTACTTCACAGTGGCTGTGATTTTAAAGTGCAACGTTAATTTCTATGTGCTATTTAATGAGTAAGTATAAATTCGTGTATCTCTCTTTCAGCATGGAAGTAATATAGCTGCTATTCAGTGTGCTCTACAGATGTATGATATGAAACACGCGCCTCATGCAGCGACCATAGTAGCTGAACTGTATAGAGAAAGGAGTGGAGATGGTTCCATTCGATTTCTTTTCTTCAATTCCTCTCATCCCGAAACTGTTATCGAAAATCCATATATATTCCTGCTGCAAGGTTGTAGCGAATTCTGTCCTCTGTGGTTCTATGAAGATTTCATCCAAGATCTGGTTCCTAAAGATTGGAAAAATGAATGTGTGAACGAGTGGCAAGGGATTTCAAAAGAAACCATACCACCTCAGTTCGGTGTAAGTACAGTCATTTTCTCATAATTTCATATCTCATTTCATATACTAAGAAGTTTATTTTCTCATTTTCACCTACAGCAGCGATTTTCAAAACAAAATGCTTACAATATTTGTTATGCTTATATAAAAGCTATCCATCGTAATTCGATTTTATATTTGTAAATACTAAAAACGGTGTCCTTTCTATTAAATCAGGTGCAGATGGCACTAATCTAACCGGCGCAGCAAGTTTGCATGAAAGTATCAGTACCTTTTTGCATGTTTATCGCAAGATTACTCGGCACTCTTAAGAGGATCTATTTACACAATGAAGAATACACTCTTCATCCAGATGTCGGCTCACCTATGTGAAGATCTTTACCTGGGTGATTGTTACTGACTTGCATAAAGGTGCTAGAATCTTTTTATAAGTTTTTCCCAAGTATTATTCGGATTTCAGTTTGTACCAAGAATCTTTATCTAAGTCGCCAACTTGCATAAAAGTGCTGGTTCCTTATTGGAAATTGGTCGCTCGACTGTCCTGCACCTTTATGAAAGTCACTTTATATCATGACGAATACAATCTGCATTAAGATGCCGGGGCACCCAGTTGAAGAATTTTACCAAAATGGAAAATCACCGAATTGAAAAAAAGTACGGGAATCGTTATGAAATCATCAGTGTGGCAAGACATAAAAATTCTTCTTTTTTATGATACCAGTTAATGGATTGGTAAGAGATATATATTAGAGGTTAGCAAACATGAATTTGCGACTACCTAATGAAGGCAATAAACTTAATTCGTTTACAATTAATTTAGCACTGATGTTTTAGCCCAAAGGGCTATTAGTCTCGAAACGGCATTTTGCGTCGAATCAATTTAAATGTGCGAATCACTTCTCAAATTTCTGTCGCTAAATATTATCTCCCTGTATAATGAAGAATCTGCATGAATGTATGTATTTTTCTCGCAATGTGAAAAAACAACAACACCTAGAGTCATAAAATTCTGAATTACGTAGTCCTCCACCCGAACATGGACACCTGAAAGCCCGAATTTGGAATTTGTTTTGTAATCTATTTTTTCATATTATGTAAAACTTTAACGAATTTTAGATTAATAAACTCAACAATTTCAAAGCGAGCAGTAGCAACACTGTAGAGAATAAAACCTTTTTTATCTCCAGCGCATGAGACTGTTTATCCGAAATTCTGAAGATATGTTGTTTATAAATATTTTTAGCACAATGTGGCGTTAGCGCAAACTGTCTTGAAATGTATATATGTCTGTAAATGAAAAAAAAAGAAAGAAACGCTGGTTTTTGCATAACATATTAATTTTTTTTTTGAGTGGCAGTAAATTTTAGTCTTCCAACAAGTTTATTTATCATATTTTTTTTTACTTGCTGCATAAATCCTGCAATTATGATTAATGTTTCAACAGTTTTTCAACAATCTTTTTCCTATGGTCTTGTTTCATTCACCCCTACTTTAAATGGTCCTCACCAACTCTAAGGTTTTAAGTCAGCGGTTGTCGGTAATTCACTCCATTTCATTCACTAAATGGATTTGTTACAATGAATTTCGAAAATACTTTTCATGTACTTTGTGAATGCGAGTCTTCGATGATGCATGCCTGCTAAGGCAGAGTGCTTTACAAGAGTAACTAATCTAATGTACTCCTTGAACATTTTCACAGACAAATATCAAGTACAAGCATCACAGCCATCATCATATGCCTCCTAATATAAGTTTAACAATCTGATTTTTAGTATTCCGGAAAAATTGCATCAGAAACAAAATAATTTGTGCATTCAATTTAAGCATAAGCTTTCGGAAAAATAATGGTGTTAAGATTGAAAAACAGTATAGCAAATTAGAAATCGCAGGGTATAAAAAGCTAAAGCTGTCTAATCATACCTATTTTAATGAAATATTTCTTTCGGTTTTTACATCCAGCTAACTAAGCATTGACATGAATCGCAGCTGTTCGACTTGGTTCTGAATATGGAATTTGGAGCCAAACTTTTTTATGGCTGTATACTAACGCGGTCAAGCTTGATTAAATTAGATGTTATTTTATTACAACATTTCATATCAAGGTTTTTAATTTATTAGGAAAGTCCTTTTTCTTCAAAACCTCTAGGAGAAACTGGATCGTATTTACATAAAACTGAGATGTGTCCGCCGGAAATAGAAGCCAAGAAAAATTGCTAATACACAATGGTCTCATCCATTTGGCGTCTGTGAGCTATAGGCTGTCCGAAAATTTATTTAAAACTGCAAGATGATCCAAAATGTACATGAGTGGCAAATTGTTACTATATTGTTACAAGTAACATATCACTTGAAATTTCAGTTACAATTTACGCTGTTACCTTCAAACACGCTTTTGTTGTTGTTGTTATCTAGTCCATATTACATGGAACAATGGTTGCCAGATCCTACTCTAAAGTGAGAATGGACTTCTATTTTCCGCCCCCAATCACAGGGAGAGCGTTCCGGGGAGTCTTCCACCCTTCTCCTAACCCACACGAGAGAGCTTTCGGCTCGCCGCATATTTAGAGTGCCCCCATGCCGCATCGACACTACATATTTACAAACATCCATGTCTTATTACCCGGGCCGTTCGGTACCGTAGTAGGCTTCCCTAATCACTATACCGTCTGGGCGACTTTTTTTTTTTTTTTTTTTTTTTTGCAAGACAGAATGACAGAATTTTCCATGCAGAACAAATTTCTGCACCCGGACGAATTTTTCGGAAAGTACTTCGCAATGATGCATTTTCCCAGAAAAGTTGTTTCGTTTAAAGAGGCCTTCCCAAATGCTCATGAGCATAACAAGACAATGATTTTCCTATTGGCAATCTGATTTCGAGAAACCAAAAGCATTTATGATTGACAATGAAATGGCCACATTCTCCTCTGAATTCGAACAAAATGCACGAAGTCAGGAATAAAATGTTGCAATTATCAATATCGAGTATAAGAAAGATAGCATCGTATTCAAATTTATACGTTGCAAAGTAATGCTTAATAAAAAAAAATTCTTATAGCTTGAGAAAATCTCATCTCCATCTTGCATTTAAAAAATGACTTTTAAGGCTGGCAACATAAATTGCAGCTGCGGTTTCAAATGATATATTACTTGTAATAATATAGGGGTCATGCACTGAAAACATTTGTCATTGTTATCTCTTCTAGAATTATCAAAATTTCAAAACCTGATGGCGCTTCTTTTGCATTACCCGGTATTTTTATACAAAATCGAAATTTTTGATGAATACAAGATTATTATTGTGAATGTTATCATTATTATTTGAAATTTTCTTTTGTATGCAATGCTGTTCGAGCATGGAAAGCAAATAAGGAATCATGGTTAAAAAAATGTTTCTTTCATTCAGAGATACAGATAGTTAATTTCCACGTGCACAGGAATGGTCCAGTAAAAGTTCTTTATATTTACATCATGTAAATGTTTAGGAACCTTTCACTTCCTATCCTATGCTGTTAAAGAAAGATTGTAAAAAGCACGCAATTGTGTAGTCCGTGCAGGGATTTGGGAAACCCATTTAACTAAAAGAATTAAAAAAGCTCCAAGCGCAATTTCAGTGTTTCAAGGTTACTCATCAGTTTAAGAGGTGAAAATTTTTTTTCATGTCATACGAAGATTGATTCCTCTTTGGAAATAAATTTTCTCAGTTGTTTTTTTGTTTCAATTTATTGCTGTTATTTTAAAAATTTTAAATTCCAAAATATTTTTTTTTTTTTTTGTTTTTTTTTTTTTTTTTTTTTTTTTTTTTTTTAATGTGGACTTCTGTATATTTTTCAGAAATTCATGTTTCAAGAAAAATTATCATCATCCGGAAGCATATCTGAGAGGTTGAGTCCATATTCTTTAGTCTTTATTATATGTATTATTTATGTATTTTTAATATAATTTTAATAATATTTTTTCTGTACTTTAATATTGTATAATAAAATGTAAATAATTTTTAATTTTAATTGATTTTTCTTTTGCATAAAATTATGAATAGTTATGAACTGAAATTTATTATTAATATATTAAAACATGGCGTCTAACTTGATCTTTGATACAGGTATTCATTTCTTCCTTCATTTTTTTACAATGAGGCATATTATTGCCAGATGCTAAAATACAGGTGACAGGTGAAAGCAGGTCCGGACACTCGGACGGCTTACATAGACTAGTCGGGTATCGTCCGGATCCCGCAACTATCTAAAGCTACACTCCGAAAACAATACAAGGGCAAAATGTAGATTTTTCTGCATGCGAAATTAAACGTTTTTCTGGCTGCATCGCATGTTAACACATTGCTACACATACTCTCTACAATATACATTTCATAATATGCATTGCGTTGATCACTACACTGTACTTTTCCAACTCTAAGCTACACTTAATACACTATATATTCTTTGCAACATATTACGCTGCACATTATTCTTGAAAATTCAACACAGATTCTGAACAATGTAATTGTTTAAATAAGACATAACTGGATTATATAGTCCATAACTTCGTTATATAAGACAGACTTAAATAAATAACTTGATACAACAGATAAATAAATTAAGAGCTATTAAATAAAGAGCAAAATTGCACATTACAAACAAATTACACATTTTGCACACAGAAATCCTCTTTGTTTACTTTGTGCTACAAAATACAGATTTAAAGACACAGTACAGCCCATATTACTTTTGATTAAATAACATGTTAAAAGTTAACTGTGGCTTAAATTTTGCTGTATTCTTAAAACATACCAAAAATAACTTTGTAATTAAACATTCTACTGGTTACATTGCACCTTAACATACTGCTATATATAAAATACTCAATACACTAAAATTTTTATAATACATATTACATTGAACACTGCACTATATTTAGGACACCTTACAAAACTCATTTCTACACTTAATGCATTGTGTGTATTGGCTACATATTACATTGAACATTACTCTTGATTAAATAATATAGGCAGTGGTAGTAACTCTTTGTTATATACAACATAATTCTTAATACAAAAAGCTTATAAAAACACTAGCAAACTAGTCATTAATTTGAATTAATGAAATTTTTTTTGAATTTCTGTTGCAAATAGATGCTGACACCCTGCACAATAGTACAGGCACTGAAATCATAGTATTTCGTCGGCATCGAATTCTGTGATGCAACCACATGAAAGTAGAAAATAGCGACTTGTTGCGCCATCTACTGAGAACTTAATCAATTGTTTACTAGAGATTTTAATTTCTCATACCTTTGCTATCTAGGCATTTAAAGATTACAGCAGTATCTCCAAAATAATGTCTGTAAAGATTTAGGATTCTACTGAAACTCAAACAAAGCCCCATATTGATATGTGAAAGGTCAAAATTTCACTGTTGTTCCAAACGCGATTTCATATTGTGTAATGTGATCTTTGTTTACAAATTTTTGCCATGTTATGTATTTAGCGCTCTTTTTCCTATAACAAACACACCAGCCGCTTGATCGGTAAAGTAGCGAAACACTTGCAGTTGGCTATGGGGCTCTAATCTCAAAGAAGGGGCTGGCTGCACTGCGTTTTCGTGGCTTTCCCATTTGTAATGTGCATACAAGCCAGTTTTCTTTAGAAAGTCTTCCACGAAGACATCCTTCCCTTCAGATAGAAGTCCTTGAGTGTTTTGTCATAAAAGAGAAAAACAAACCAAAAGAAAACTTCTTGCCATGAGTAGTTTTGCTGTGAGCTATTGTATTATATTTGCTTTATGTTTTTCAGGAATCTTATGAGCTTTTCTAATTTTAAGGGTGCACAATCCATATAGTATCATCGTCTGCCACTATTATGATATCTGCTTCAGGCAGGGCCACATTAAATGTGTGGACTACAGTTGTAAATTAGATCTTCTATTGCGCCACAGTAGCCTTTAAGAATTTCAATGCAAATGTGATGTGTCCGAATTGTTCTACACTGATTAATTAGTCTTCAAAATTTGCAGTTTAGTTGTTATGAAAAGCATTTTCAGTTTAAAAAAAAGTAATATTAATTGTTAGATTAGAAAATGAGTTTATGAATATTAATGCTAAAAAATGTTGGATGTTTTCAAAAATGTTCACTAATACACTGATTTTATCATCGCTTCAGTATTTGATTGCACTGGAGAGAAAATAAACGGCAATCAGACATTTGACTTTCATAAATCAAACATTTAAGTATGCAATGTAAAATAACCATAGCTTCGAAGAACTATTTTAAAACAAGTTGTATTTTATTTTATTTATTTTTTGCAGTAAGATAGGTCAAGTATTTATAAACAATGTTATTTCGAATACAATTTATAGATGTTATTTCGAATTATATATAAGACTTTTTTCCTTATAAAATAAATGTTTAACAGTGATTTAAGATTTGTTTTGCCAGAGTTGTGAAAATGCCAAAGATAGGAACACAGCTTGAGGCTGAGTATGACATTTTCTAACAAGAAACATATCTATAAAAAGTTTTTAAAAAATCTGAAAGCTTTCAGATTTAACATTACGCCCAAAGGGATTTTTTTCACCTTTTGTGTGTTGCCTTTATTTAATTAATATAATTTTCTTTATAAGTGCTAGAGGTACGGGCATATACGGGATCTGTGTAATTACACAGCTCGTTGTCTTAAATGCGCACAACCTCACGAAACTTGTACATGCTCTCAAACTAAAGAAGATAAAGTTAAAATCCCAATCTGGGCCTGGCGAATCTGGTAAAAATTACGTCTCTTCCTATAAAGGCTGTGTAAAACACCCTTATAATGTCAAAAAACAAATAGAAGAATTCATAAGCAGAAAAGAAGATAAGAAAACCACTAATCCCAAGCAATTTAAATTAAATGATAAAGAATTCCCTGCCCTGCCTGGAAATAATTCGAAGGAAATCCCCTGCCTGAGACATACCAATCGCAAACGAAAATACTAATGAAAAACCCAAGAGCAGCTAATTAAGTTTCTTCGACTTGATTAAAGCTCAAATTTTACAAGTAAAATAATTTCTTAACAAATTTAAAGCAACAAAAACAATATTTGATAAGCAGGAATTTGGAATGACTGCAAATGATTATTTTACAAACCTTAATTATGAAATTTAGACCATTCAAAATAATATAAATCTTATCTCAACTACCTCAAAGTTTGCAACTTTAATGCTAACGTTATCCGGCAGGAACAAAATGAACTCTCTCATTTCAGCATAAAATAGACATCATGCTCATCAATGTGGCACATCTCTGTCCCTACGACAGATTTAAAATTCAAGGTTATTTATTATATTGTTAGAGAAGACAGACAACACAACACAGGCGGCTGTAACGAAATCATTATCAAAAACCATATCAAGCATACAAAATTCAATCTCAACTCACCCAGTTCCATTGAAAACGCAGCAATTTTAGTTTACAGTGGATTTAGTGAACCATATCTTTTTATCTTGGTCTATAATCCCCAATCCCCCTTCACATATTCTAAATTCTACAGATCTAGACAGACTCACCTCTTTAAACTACCCAACCATAATTGGCGGGGTCTTAAACGCAATGCATAATGCTAGAAACGAAAATGTTTTAAATAATTATATTATCAACAACGAAGTACGACTTATCGCACTTAATCAACCTACCCATTACACCCATGATGGAATTAGAGACATATTAGACATAGTATTACTGAAGAATCTACCAAATATCCCAAATTTAGAAGTCATTAATGAATTAACCTCGAACCATCTCCCCATAATTTTTTAATTTTTTATTTCTATGGATTCTACCCTCCACTCCCAAACTCTGCACAAAAATCAACTGGGAACTTTATATAAACCAACTTACTAGTATCACAAGTGGTGCTACTTTTCAATGTTGCTGTGATTTTGAAAATGAAATTACGAAATTTAACTATAGAATGCAATCTGCCATTAAAAATTCCACTTATTCCTGCAAACAGAAAAATCCATATGGTCTCCCAAATAACATCAAAGCACGAAACACAAGAAAGAAATAGATGTGGAAAAGAATGGCAAGTCACCTACAACCCCAGTTAAAAAAGACACATTAATTACCTAAATCGGAAAATTAAAGAAGAAATCTCAAACCATCGCTCCAGTATTTGGGATAATTTACTTGACAATATTGATCTGTTACTAAACATAATGTGGAGAATTGCTAAGTCCTATAAAACCCATCATCTAATCAGCTACACCCGATAAGTCACATGGGGCAAATGCACCACTCAGGGAAAGAGACTGCTCAGTCCATGCAGAAGAATTAGAAAAGTGTTTGAAAAGCATATAGAAGATAATTCAGATCACGAAGCAGATGTTAATCATTCAGTCACCAGTATTCTCAACAGAAGCAACACAGATTTTATTTCTCCCGCATCTCCTAATAAAGTTACGAACATAATTAAAAATGTAAAGGTACAGGATATGACCTCATTTCAAGCGACGACGAAGCACATCAAACCTCATAGATATATTGTTCTCATTACCAACATATTTAACTCCTGCATTTGGCTCTATTACTTCCTATCTCAAAAGAAGCACTCCATTAACATCAACATTCTTAAGTCAGGAAAAGATCCAAAGTCAGCTAAAAACTATAGACCAATTAGCCTATTACCGGCCTTGGGAAAAGTTTTTGAAAGAGTTCGTCGCCTAAGAAAGACTTGACCTAATTGACAAAAATGAGTTCGAATTCAGGAAAGGGCACTGTACAACCCATCAAATATTTAATCTGATTGAATTCATTGCCCAGGAATTTTGTAATAAGATGGAGTAGCCGAATATTGCCTCGATTTTGAAAGTCTTTGATCGAGTGTGGCATTCAGACTTACCGCACACGGTATCTAATTTTCTCTTACTCAATAGTTTCATTAAACTCATTCTTTCCTACCTCAACCGTCGCACGTTTCAAGTAAGATGCGGAGATGCTCTTTCCTCGAGTAAAACTAGCTTCCTGGCTCGGTTTTAGACCCAAAAGTTTTCTACACATTTATTAATAACATGCCTCTTCCAGTTTATTCGAACATAATAAAGTACGCGGATGATACAGTATTACTGACAAGCTAGAAAAACCCTCAAAATGCCCTCGATAAGTTGCAACTACTAGTTAACATCATCCAAGAATGGTATAAAGATTGGAAAATAAATTTAAATTCTTCGAAATGCTGTGTTGCCCTATATCATCGACACAGGAAATATACTTGATTGACTTCAACATCAGAATTAATAACTCTCTGATCCCTGTTGCTGACTCGTACAAATATTTAAGAGTCTCTGTTGACAAATGTTTAACTTTCAAAGAACGCATAAACTACGTGACAAATAAAGCTAATGCCGTCTTTACGGCATTCTATTCATTATTGGGATGAAAATCTAATTTAAATCTTCGCATTAAAAATTCATAAAGACCTTGATATTATTCCAATTCATGATCATATACTATTAGAGTTCCCATAACTTCTTTGAAAAAATTAAAAACTCACCATATGAAGCAATTAGGAATTTAACCGACTGTGATCCTTAAGAACATGCAGTAAAGAGACCGCAAACTGTCCATCATAATGCGTTATGGTGGTAACGTAAATTTGTATATATTTTTAATATTTTCAAGAACTTTGCTTACCTAATTAAGAACTGTGTTTAAGTGTTACGCTACCTTGCAAAAATAGTACATTGTTTTACTGACAAAGCTGACGGACTTTGTTCTGTACATATCTATTATTACTATTTTTCAACTTTCATTTTCAATTACTTACAAAGAGAGAACTTCATTTATTCTTGCAAAGATTTATGACTTTGTTATATTCTTAATGTGTGTGTAAAAATTAGTTCGCGGATACTCCTTCAACTGCATAAATTATATCATCATCTCCTCATTGGCTCTAGCCCATCACGTGGGGCTAAATTCATTTATTGTATTGAAATCATTATTTGTTTATTGAATTTGACTGACATGAATTATTGTCTTTTACAAGACCTACGTCTTAATTGTCACTTTAAAATTACGGTTATTTACAAGTTACAGGATAAAATTATTATTTTTAAATGCAAATTAGTACTTCAAGTTTATCTCTCCATAATAGTACTGTGACCAGTCTCTTATCTCAATGCCTTACTTAGCTCAGCTACTCATTCATTTTGACTGCTGCTGCCATAGATGAAGGTTGCTTTTTCACTTCTTGCTCGTGCCCCGCCAGATTACTTGCCTATTGCCATAAAATTGCTATTCTTGATTTACCATCAATTGCCTTCAAATGCTTATTAACACAAATTTATGCCTTCAAATGCTTATTTACACAAACGCTTTTTTGCTGAGTTTACACAAATATTGATTCTCGTCCTCGGGCGTAGTGTATTTTATTACATACACCTTTAGTTTTTAAAAAAATCTAATGGCCTCTGGTATAATGATTAATTACTGGTTGGAATTTTTAGTAGTTGAAGCCAGAAGCAAAGATATGATCCAAGATCCAGCAATATCGCAAAATAATTCTAAAATGAGCATATCGTTAGAATTTCCAATACACAGTCTCGCACGCTGGAGATAATGTTTTTTTACGTACAGATTTGCCATTGCTCTCTTTGAAATCGTTCAGTTTGTTGTCAAAATTCGTTGGAAGTGTTACAAAATATGAAATCGATAATAAAACAAATTTCAAATTCCAAATTAAGACTTCCAGATGCCCATATTACGGTGGAAGATTACGTTATTCAAAATTTCATGACTCCACCGAGGTACCGTTGTTTTATCACAATGCGAGAAACATTGTGAATTTATGCAGATTCTTCATTATTTAATTTCTTTAAAATAACACAGGGGGATAATATTTGGTGGCATCGATTTGAAAACGTGAACCGACATTTATAATTTTCAATTCAAAATGTCAAAATGAAATTAAGCCCTATGAGCTAAACATAAACAAATACATAAACAAAATAAAGAGAACGGAGAAAGACAAAGAGAACTGTAGTTAACATATTAATGTTTTTGATCAAGAAAATCCTAAACATGTAATTTCATCCTATATATAATTCTAAGAGAAGATAAAATTACGCTTGATTAGATTTAAAGAATATAGTTGTCACGTGCTCTCAGGTCCTAAAGTAACAGTAAATATAGAATGTATAATTGACTATATCTTTTCCTTAAAAGTATACTGAAAGTCATTAACGTTTTAAACATGTAATCCTTAATAACATGCCTTTGTTTCAAATTTTTATGGATAAGATATTTCAACAAACACATGATTAGGCACTATTTTGTTACAAAAATGACTGCCCAAATGAAAGCTATTTTAAAAACATGCCTTTCATTTTCTATTGAATTTTAAAACTTCCTCCGAGCAAAATAATATCTATAATACTAAATAAATAACGCATGTAGTAAAAAAGAAAAAAAAATACTGAATTTCGTTTTGGATTTGGTGAGTTTTCTTTAGAAAAACTGTAAGCTAGTCTTTGAGTTCAAAGATTCTTCATCTATCACTATTCTTTCTTCTGTTACTTCTTCAAAGCAGCTGAGAGGATCATTGTCCTCAGCACCTAATAAAGATAAAATAAGGCGATAGAATAAATACTTATGTCTTTTAATTTTTATATAAAAGTTTCTAATAATGAAATTCAAGGACTGGAACATATCGTGAGTTCTGAGTAAACTTTGTTATCGTACGTGTAGACGGAAGTTTCTATCCGGCCCGCGGATAGAATTTTAATTTGCCGGTCCGAGGCAAATTAAAAGAAGTGCATATATATATATACATATGCACTTCTTTTAATATATCCATCTCCTTTTCTACTTTGTTTAAATATTTTTTTCCTTCCTTTTTTTCAAAGAATTGATGATCTTTTTACGTTCTCTATTTTTGTGCTACAAAACATAAATCGACGAAAATTGCAAGCACAGACTGCTTTCAATCGGTAACAGTGTTAAAAGCGAAAGTTCTTTGTTAGTTATAGGTGTAGATTGGCGCCAACAAGTGTTATCTCTTTCTCGAGCAGACATATGGGAATCCAATATATGTGAATTAGACCTCTTAGAAAAAACTTAATTATCTTAACTCAAAACTTACTTAATAAAACTTAATATGTTTGCTGGGCATCTAGCTAAGAACTTGTCTCATTTCCTGAGGTTAAATTCAATACCCTCAGTAAATGAATAGAAGCTTAAGAATTATGAAGATGGCTTTGAAGATGAAGAAAAACTGCATTTTGAGTTCGAACGCAAATTTCAGTGCCATTCAAACAGAACTGGATATTTTTATTACAGCTTTCAACGTAAATTGTGAAGGAGTAAGGTCATATTTGCAGCTTGAATTAATTGATTTGCAATCTAACAATCATCTCAAGCAGCTGTTTCTAAATATGCCAAAGTTTGAGTTTTACAAATCATTATCGGAAGTATGTTTTCCAAATTTTAATATATCATGCCCAGAAAATCAGTGCTATGTTTGCTTTATCTTATATATGTGAAAAAGCGTTTTCGACTATAAACCTTAGAAAGAATTATTTCAGAAGAATATTCAGAATTCACCTATAACTAACAAAGAATTGATAAATGAGCATTTAGTTTAGTTCATTAGAATCAGTAAATCTCACTTCGAACCTCAATATAAGGAACTTTTAAAAACGAAATCGCAATTTCATTCATCTCATAAACATATTTAACTTGTAATACTTGTATATTGTTTTTAAAATTTTAGAAAAACTTATCTTGGCCCGCCAAACTTTTTTCTTTCCTTTTTTGGCCCGCAATCGAAAACGTTTGTCCATCCCTGGTGTAGACACATACAGTCCCCAGTATATTTGCCTGCTAGGCTTATCACGTTTTGAAAAGTTACTGGAAGGCGTCATACACCAACAGCGCGTTCTCTTATGTCGCTGTCCCCACATAGAATATCCTATAGCAGTAGTTTTCAACCTGTGTTCCGCGAGTCAATTTTCAGGGTTTTACAAGTCAAAACAAAAATTCCAAAGGCAAATTATAATGCACTCACACTAGTTGACTAGTGTTTATTAACTAATAAAATATAAGGATACATTTAGTTATAAATTAGTTGTAAAACGTAACGTGTGTTTATGATATGTCAAAGAGAATTACGAGCAATGGTCTGCAAAACTAAACAGTTTAGACGACAGTATTAAAAATTGTACAACAGAGTACCTTTTTTAATTGATGAAAAAATACAAAAGAATATTTTCCAGGAGCAAAAACTTAAGCATAGCTGGATAAAACATCCGTTCGAGTAATAGGAAAAGGGAATAATTTATCGGCATATCAACAGATTCAACATTAAAATCCAAATAGCAGAAGTTGCTGCTAGATTTTGCGTTGTAGATTCGTAAAGAATACCTAGAAGTTTCTCACACAACTATAAACATTTAATGTCATTTTGAAACAGTATATTCAAGTGAAAAATCTCTCTCAAAATATGGGTCAACAAAAAAATTACAAGCAATTTAAGTTTAGAATATGAAATACGACTGCAGGTAACACCAATAGAGCTAGACTGTGAGAGTTAATGTAAAAAAAAAATGCTAGCAGAGGTCCGTCACTAAATATAATGCAATGGTAGGTGACACCTCGAACACTTGTTAATGATATTAATGAGTATATTACACTACTTTTATGCTAAAATACTTTAATAAAAATACAATACTTTTCTTTAATTATTTTACATAAAATACCCGCAACATGTTGATCTACTTTAAATATTATTTTACGATATATTTTTCTTTTTACGATATATTTTTTACAATATATTTTTAATTTTAATTAACAAACTCGGCTATTTGAAAGCAATGTGTTACACTGCCAAGAATAAAATATTATCTTCCCCGCGGCAGCATATTGCCATTCAGTTAAGATATATTTTTTTCAGATTTATTTTGGGAGATTATTGAGTAATAAACTAAACAATTTAAAAGCAATAAACATAAGAATATTTTTTCGACTTTTCAATATGATTGATTTAAATAAAAATGCACTCAAACTATCAGATGTCTAATTAGAAGTACTAAACATTTTTATAGAACATTTTTATACTTCTTCCTTTTTTTATGATAATTATTTTAGGCGGCTGCCCGTGCAAGTTTTTAAAGAAATAACATAACGAATATGAAAAAAATGTATAGCAACACTTTATACTGTATAGGGAATTCTAAACTTGCGCTGCTTTTAAAAATTTTGTGATTTTGAGTTGGATTTCATGTAGCATAAGTGATTCTTAATAGAAAAGCTTCAAATATGGGTGGGGGGATGTGTTAGCAGAAGTGAATCCAAGAGTAGCCTGCGAGCTCAGCCAGAGCATAAAAACCTTTACAAACTCTTTGGTGCGACGTTGAAATCTGAATCCTTTCAGCTTCTTTTTTTTCTCGTTCATGTTGGCATAGAGATTATAGTCAAATGAATTCCTATGAGGTGAATATGGTTGCTGTTCTAATGCCCCCTTTAGGTATCGTTGCAGGAAATCCGTCTCAGCTTTCAGATTATGACACTGCATATGGTCCTCGAAGATGGTGGTACTCGTCATCTGAGATACCATGTTCGAAAAATTCAGTTTTCAAAAGCAAAGAAGATACAATGAACAAGTTGTGGGTAAGCTGCCTTGGTAGTTCTACTGTTAAATAGTTTACCTTTGAAACATGTTTCAGGATATAAAATGCGATGAAAAGTTTAAATTCAAAAAGAAAACATTTTGATGGAAGATAACAAGATACTTAATGAAATATTGTATTTATTATATATCATAAGTATGTTATGCACGAAAAATAGAACAATTACCAGACAATAAGAAAGAAACAGAGCAAAGTCGCAAGGAGATTTTTAATTCTTTTAAATATGTAATATTAAAATTTAAATTAAATATACTGGAAAAGGTTATTGCAGTGCAATATCTATAGTGTGCCCACGAAGTCCCTGAACAGATTTAATAGCCTGTTGTCTGGAAATGGAACAATTTATACCTTTGGTATTGGCCACACTTTTACAAGCATGATTCAAAGCTTTTATAACAAGGAACATAAATTACACAATCTCGATATGCGCACCATTATTTGTGCCCAAATTATTATGTCGATATTCCAGCTCTGCCCAGGTACTGTGTAATATGTTGTAACGAGTGGTTGTAATGGCACTGCTGATTCTGGTTTTCAGGTCTGTAATGTTTCTCACTTTCAAACGGTAAATAATGTCTTTAATGTAGCCCCGCAGAAAGAAGTCCAAAGAGGTTTAACAGATGAACGTAGTAGACATGGAACGAGTTCATGCTTCCCGATGCATCTTTTGGGAAATATTCTGTCAAGAAAATTATACATATATTGCTCAGTGTGGTTTTCTTCCATCCTACCGAAAAACGTTATGGATCGATCTACCGAGGTAAACTTTAGCTGTTATTGTTTGCTTAAGAAACAAAAATAGTGCTAAATTCTTGTCATGCAGCATCCTACACCAAACATTCACTTTTAGGTTGTCCTTCAAATTTCATAAAAATGGTTTGATGTCTAAATTCTCATAACTCGGCTAACGTCGTCAATATATGCATGAATTTTTGTTATTTGCGTTACCAATTCAAATGTAATAAATAAATAATAGAAAATGGAAGGAGATTAACTTAATGTTTAGCAATTTTCGTTACAACTGTATATTGGAACTACAAAGCTATGCATGTAACATACAGTTAGTCAATAAAGTCTGCGCACATCAAGAAAAGTAATATCAAATCCAAATTTTAAGGTGCGAAAAGGGTAGTTTCTTAAAGTTTTATTTTTTAAATATTTAGTTTCAATAAGGGACTTTGAAATTATTTAACTGTAATATTTTCGTATCTAATAATTTATCCACACTATTTTTTAAAAGATAAGTGGCCAGAAATCAAAGCCAATAAAGTTTGCGTACAACGCGAAGGAGGCAGGGGATTTCTTATCTAACTTTTAAACTTCAAACTTGAGAATGCAAAGAAGGTTACACTTTGAAGGTCATTGACTTCCGAAGCAAATTTCACGTTGATTGGAAGTTGCTATTTCTATTTTCTTTGACGAAAATGACAACCAATAAAGAAATTCCTTTAGTTACGAGACAACTAATTATCAAATTGAGAGATGAAGGTAAAACTCTTCGTTATATTGGTAAAACCATTGGAAAACCATTTTCTAGTGTGCAAAGAGTTATTCAAAACTATCTTGACACTGGTAGTCTTGCTGTAAAACCAAGATGTGGGAGACCGAAGAAGCTAACGCAGAGAGAAGAAAGAAAAATTCTTTTACGAATTAAACAAAATCCTAAACTTTCTTGCTGCAAGCATTGCAAAAGACATTTTTTTAACTAGCAACAAGGAAATTTCTGAAACTGTACGAACTGTGAAACTGTACGAAAAGTGCTGCGAAAGTCCGATTATCATGGACGCAAACCTAGGTCTAAGCCATACATTTCCGAGACAAATAGAAAGAAAAGAATTGCTTTTGCCAAAACATATTTAAACTCTTCGCAGGACTTCTGGAACAATGTAATTTGGTCAGATGAAAGTAAATTTACAATATTTAAAGTTAATGGCCACCCTATTGTATGGAGAAAACCAGGAACAGAACTGAATCTGAGAAATTTAAATCCAACTGTCAAACATGGAGTTGGCGGTGTGATGGTATGGGGGTGTATGTCGTCGAAAGGAGTTGGAAATTTTCACATTATTGATAAAGTCATGGATAAGTATGTTTATCTGGATATTCTGAAGAAAAATCTACGAGACAGTGCTCGAAATTTAAACCTTTCTAATACCTTACAATACAGCTAAAATTGTGGAGGAATATCTCCTCTATCACACTCCAAGACAGTTGCGTACTCCTCCACAGTCACCAGACCTCAATCCAATCGAACATTTGTGGGCAAAATTGGAGAAACGAATTCGAAAACACAATATTACGTCGCGAAATAAGCTAATTAGTAAATTGCAGGAAGAATGGGCGAAATTTACGTCGGATGACACTGAAAAACTAGTTCAGTCAATGCCCAGACGTCTGCAAGCTGTTTTGAAGAATAAAGGATATCCTACAAAGTATTGAAGTAATGTAAAAAACTTATATTTTGCTTTTTTTTTAAAGTGTACGCAGACTTAACTGGAGGGAATTTCTGAGTTTTTTTGACAAAATATATTTTTGAAAAAATGTAAAAAGTATTACACTGATATTATTTACTTTTTATTTAAGCTTACAATTTTAGATAATAGAAGAAAAAAAATGCAATGATTAAAATACATTTTTCTATGCTTTAAGTGTTTTTTTAATTTAAAAAATTAGTCTGTACGCAGACTTTTCTGTAATCAACTAAAAGACTAACTTAAGGACTACCCCCGATCAGCCAAAACTGTCAATTAATCTAAAATGCTATTTTTCATTCTTGCGTTTTTTTTTACTACTATTTTACCAGTATCGTATTTGATTTTGTTTCTCAATTTTAAAATTCATCTTTAGGTTTTAAAGTTTAAAATGTGGCGATGCTTGAAGAAAAACAACCCAGATAATTCTGAAGAGACTAGTGAGGAAGATTTAGAATCTCATATAAAGGCTAAAGACTGATAAACAAAGAGGTGCAGAAAAGGTTCTTCTTTACAATGAAAGTTATTTATCAGTGGGTTTTACATGGTGATTCAGAATGTCTTCTTCTATTGTTGTTCGTTTGCGGAAATAAAAAAAAAAAAAAAAAAAAAAAAAAAAAAAAAAGATCTTTCTTGGAAGAACTGTATCGGCATTTGTACGGATGGTGCTGCTTCCGTGGTTGGCTCCATAAGAAAGGCTTTGTTACTCTTGTAAAAGAATAAAATATCAATGTCATTTTCCACACTGTCTTATTCATCGAGAAATGCTGATGTCAAAATCTTTTGTAATGAACTACAATAGATATTTGAAAATGCGATAAAAATGGTAAACTTCATTAAAGGAAAGCCACATCCCACCAAGCCACTTCCTCCATTTTTAAAAAGCTCTGTGAAAATATGGACAAGAAGACACAAATCTTTTTGGATCTGTTTTTATACACCGAATTCGACGGTTAAGTAGAGGCAGAGTTAGTAATCTAAAGAAAGAAATAATATACATTTTCAACAAACCTTCAAACGAGATTTTACTAAATGTTTTGAGGATCAAACGTGGGTGCAGATGCTAGCTTATTTAGCAGACACTTTTCACCTCTTGCTGCAAAAAGTTACCCCATGCTGCAAAACGCCTACAGAGGGTGCTGTAACCAAGGAGGTTAGAATAGGATTCCGTACAAAGAAATCATGTGGTGCACACATCAGATTTTTTTTCTATAGTAGCCATATTTACTTACATCTGAAGCTTAGCAGAATTGTGAATTAAGTCTTTCTGGAACTTCAGTGTTAACGTTTTGCCGAGTGGGACCAAAAGGAAATGTTTAGTTTGTGCAGCGAAAAGTCTGTCTTCTTAAGTCCGTTTAAACATGTTATAGGTGTATATGGTGACACTACGGATTTAGAATGAGAAAGAATTTAGAATGAGTATAAGTGAATCAGCTTTTTGTTTGACCATCTGTTTACGTTATGTGAAATGTGTTATCTTTCTTTGTTTAAGCATATCTTTTATATCCAATTTCAGGTCGAATTGCGTAGGATTTAAAGAGTTAGAAAAGCTATTCTATTACTTATTGATTTTGTAATCTTTCTGATATATATGTTCTTCATTTTACATTTTATTTCTCAACCTTTCCATGGTACTTTTACAGAATGAGTGGTAAATAGCATCTATTTGAAGGCCTGTTCGACCACAGTTACGAATATTAAAAGTTTTCAGACAACAGTTTATTCTCATATCACAATCTGAGAAGGTATTCATTTTGAAAGAACCTTCAGAGTGATAAAGATTTTCAATAATGTACAAATATGCTTAGGCTTTCATTCTAAACTAAGAGCCTCATTCGTTAATCAGTTCATGGCTTATTTTAGAAATTTCACATCTTAAAATTGTTTTTTATTCATTCACTGCAATCGGTATAATTACTAAAATTAATGATTTCGATTTTATTTTAGAATGTCTGCTACCAAAAGTGGAGCAAGTTGCTTTAGATAAGAAAATTCAATTAATAAAAGGGTTTTTAAACAAAAAGATTTTATTTAAAATGGAATGATAATTTAACGCACTAAAAGCATAAAAATAATTTATCATACAGTTTAATGAGAATAGTAGATTAAATCATTCGGTTTACAGAATTCATCTGCAAAATTCCTATACAATATCACGAAAAATAAAAGCATGAAGTGCCCATGATAAATATAAAAAGAAAACAGCTTATACATTTGATTATGCAATTAAATTAACAAATTTCGTTATTTAACTCCTTCACGCCTTAAACCAAGTTGATATCTTATCAGGTAGTAGGTTATAAATTGGTAACGAAATAACGAATTCCAATGTAACTGACAGCTACATGTAAGACACAAGAAGTAATTTCTAGCCCAGTGTTTTTCAAACTAGTTTCTGCAGAACACTGTTGTTCGGCAAACAGTAATTAAGTGTTCTATGGCAAATTATGAAACTGTGGCTATTTCTTTTTGTTAAAAAATAACAAAAAGAATAAAACCTCCTTGTGCATCACACAGTACAATACAATGCTTACAGAGATAAGTAAAAATAAGAAACAATATAAAATTCTGAAAATTTTCAGATTAAAAAAATTAAAATAAAACTTTCTGATTTTATATCTCAAAATATTCAGATTTTATATTACGCCCAGAAGGGTGTTTTTTTTTTTTTTTGAGCATTTGGGCTGATGCCACATTGAGCTAAAAATGTTTAAACACAGTATATCTTTAAAATTTCCAATAGACAGTGTCGAACGCTGGAGATAAAAATGCTTTATTTCCTATAGAGTTGCCGCTGCTCCCTTTGAAATTATTAAGTGTTTTTAAATGAAAAATTCGTTAAAGTTTCACTAAGTATGAAATAGGCTACAAAGCAAATTCCAAATTCGGACTTCCAGGTGCCCATGTTCGGGTGGAGGACTATGTTATTCAAAATTTGATGACTCTAGGTACCGTTGTTTTTCACACTGCGAGAAACATACATACTTTCATGAAAATTGTTCATTATTTAGTTTTTTTTTTAATATAATACAGGGCGATAATATTTGGTGGCAACAATTTGAAAAGCGATTCGGCCTATCAAAGTTATTCGAGCAAAATGCCGTTTTGAGATTAATAGCCGTTCTGATCTAAGAACAAAACACGAAATAAAATAAAATTTACAAATTCACAAGATGAAACGTAAGAAATAAGTATGCAAAAGGAAATGAATTCTTTTTTATGTTGAAAAAATAAATGGAGACGGGGTGGAAACTTATGTTTAAAAAATTTAATTGGGAAATGTATTCCCTTTTTTCTCATGCATAAGCTCTGAGCAGCAGAACAACAAATGTTTGATATTTTTCAATTATTATTATATATATATTTTACTATATTTATTATAATCAATAATTATACATATATTTTACTATATTTATTATGATCAAAATTTAAAATAATATCTGTTCAAGAGAAAATTTTAAATTTAGAAATGAAATTGAGAATGATTATTGACAGAAAACAAAACTACGCACGTAAATACAAAAATTAAATGATTGCGTTATTCCAGAGGTTCGTGTTTCGATTCCCGGCGAAGGCGTTGCATGTTTTTTTTTTTTTTTATCTTTCCTGCTTCCAAAATACCTAATGTCTCTACAAACTTTATGTTTTTTTCAAATTTGTTTCCAGAAATTTCTGGAGTTTTTAATTAAAAAATAACTTAATTAAATTACTCTTAAAGTAATCCAATTTAAGCTATTAAACACCTTTACTTAACATTATCCTTATTCCCACTCTTCTCTTATTTTCACCGCGACTTTTCTCTTTGCTTTAAAAAAGGCTCTGCAGGCAGATGTAGCGTTCAGGTTTTGAGAAACTGAGACACACATTAAGCATACTTAGAAGATGCTATTGGGTTATAAGGATAAACTTCAGGAGACCACAACAAACATACTTCAGGCGATCCTATTGATTCTCATTGAGCCAAAGAATCGTTGATCCATTTAGACAAACAGCTTGAATCAATTCTTTGATTCCATTAAAGTTTTTCAATAAGCTGTCGAACAGCACTCTGTTCGAAGCTGATATTTATTCATGATCCTTAAATTCGTGTTTTAGATGGAAATGTGTAACTGAAGGGATGGGCCTAAACCACAATTTCTATGCCAAGTAATGTTTTGTGAAAAATATCAATGTGTAGTGAAACTGGAAAGAATGAAAAAATAATTTTAACAATTGAATGTATAATAATTGTAACTAGCTTTTAGTATTTTAAAATTAAAGTTAGCATTAATTTTAATTGTTGCCATTAAGTTACTCTAGTTACCATAACTCTTAACATTTGGGAGTGTTAGTATTAAGTTAAACATTCGATCCCTTGAAACTCATTATAACGGTGTTCAGCTGTACCTGTAAAAGAGACTATATGCATCTGGGGACCTTTTCGAACACACTGACATTTATTTAAATTTTCCACAGAGTAAATGTTTCGAGGTACTGAACACTGAATTTCTGTATTTAAATAATTATTTACAAGCATGTACGAAGTTCTCCAGAACTAAACTTCTAGTTTAATGTAATCATTTCAAAACTTAAAATTTCTGTCTCCAAATTCAGTCAGCCATTTGATGTTATACCATTTGGAATTCATGCCCATTCATACCAAGTCTCGTTTTAATATGGCCCACCAGCGGCCGAGCTGTAAAGTCGCTGAACACTGGTAGTTCGGTCCGAGTTTCGAATCCCGCGAACGGGCTGGCTGCATGGGCGTTTTCGTCGTTTTCCCCATGTGTAACGTGTATACGAGCCAGTTTCCCTTAGAAAGTCTTCCACGAAGGCATTCCTCCTTTAGGCAGATAGCCCTCGAGGCTTTGCCATAATCACACGCACACGTTTTAATATGATTAATCCAATACGCACTTTATATTGCGTTTTACAATTCTTTTTTCTGTTTTATTTGATATTAAATGACCTGGTACATTTAAGAACAAATAAATCGGTGTCTTCTTGAAACAGACGCAGAGCCTGCACATGAGGAATAAGCAAATATTTTCTTTTCTAATGTATACACCGGGAGTGAAATTGGAAATCGGAAACCTTCTGACCACACGCCATTGCGCATGAAAGTTGAGCGAAAGCGACACCGTCGTAATGTTATAATTCAAACATAGCATTTGTATGCTTTACGGCAATATTGTATTTGAACAGACCAAGAAACGCGTGAGAAAGGAAGGATTAATAAAAAAGAAAAGAAAGAATGTACTTAGCTTTTATGTGGATGCTGCGACATGATTAAAACGTTACATCTCATTTATTTTATAACTCAGAATGCAAACAAAAATTATGTTATCTGAAGAATTATCAAATCGTTGCCACATGTTCTTCGCGGCAAGGCAAAAATAACAAAAACACAAAAAAAAATCTTCATTAAAAATTTAAGGACATAGAAAAACATAAAACACCAAATACAGTTAAGGAAAAGCAATTTTTACAATTAAGATTACAGTTTCTACGCAAAAACAAGCAATTCAGCCATCGGGCAAGAAGACATATTTCTCGGTGCACAAAGTTTACTTCTGATCTCACTCGGCAAAAAGACACTGATGGCGTAGAAACTGATCTAATTTGTTGCGGACGCTATGCTGAGTGTATATATGGAATAATTTAATAACTTAACTGATAATTCCAGAATGGATTAAGTATAATTTAATTCGCAATAAGAAAAGAACTTACTCTGTTGTTGCGAAGCTTAGTTTCCCTAGATTGGCAACAAATTCACTATTCTGCTAAGTTTCAAATGTAAACAGATATATCTGCTATGGTAAAAAAATAGGCTTAGCAGCTCTTAAACAACTTTTAAATTGTTGATAATTATACAACTATAACATGCAGGTTGACTAAAGGTGTTAACGATGTTTTATGCTAACGCCAAACCGGCGCTAGTTTTCATCTTTAAGTTGTCAAGCTGAGCCAAGCGTATGTATATAAGTCCTAGCTGTTCATTCTGCTCATTGTCTTTTTCTGTCCATTCTGTGTTCTACAATCTGTGTCTTATGCCGTCAAATAAACGTGTGAGATGTGTCTGTTCCCCCTTAAGGAGGGGAATCTACCTCAAATTATCCTAATTTGTTTATTGAGTGACCGCTAAATTCAAATTTAAAATAACATCAAATATTACAAATATTGAATTTAAAAATTTCAGTAAATTTGGTCTTTCAAAAGTCAAACATTTTTGTTTTATTTTTTACACCGTAACACCGGTGTAAATGTTCTGATGTATACACCGGGAGTGGAATTGGAAATCGGAAACCTTCTGACCACACGCCATTGCACATGAAAGTTGAACGAAAGCGACACCGTCATAATGTTATAATTGAGAGATAGCATTTGTATACTTTACGGCGATACTCTATTTAAGCAATGATGTTATGGCATGTGGGTTGGCAGAACTCCTGATTT